ATTGTGAATTATTGTGTGGGTATGGTGGTAGTGGGTTGGACCCCCTTTTGTGGGGATGGTGGTAGTCGATTGGACCCCCTTTGGTGGGGATGGTGGTAGTGGATTGGACACTCTTTGGTGGGGATGGTGGTAGTGGATTGGACCCCCTTTGTTGGGGATGGTGGTAGTGGATTGGACGCCCTTTGGTGGGGATGGTGTTAGTGGATTGGACACTCTTTGGTGGGGATGGTGGCAGTGGATTGGACATCCTTTGGTGGGGATGGTGGCAGTTGATTGGACATCCTTTGCTGGGGATGGTGGTAGTGGATTGGATGCCCTTTGGTGGGGCTGGTGGCAGTTGATTGGACACCCTTTGGTGGGGGATGGTGGCAGTTGATTGGACACCCTTTGGTGGGGGATGGTGGCAGTAGATTGGACGCCCTATGGTGGGGATGGTGGAAGTAGATTGGACGCCCTATGGTGGGGATGGTGGCAGTAGATTGGACGCCCTTTGGTGGGGATGGTGGCAGTAGATTGAACGCCCTTTGGTGGGGATGGTGGCAGGAGATTGGACGCCCTTTGGTGGGGATGGTGGCAGTAGATTGGACGCCCTTTGGTGGGGATGGTGGCAGTAGATTGGACGCCCTTTGGTGGGGATGGCCTGGATGGGGGCAGCTGTCTGAATGCTCCTTGGCAGGGATGGTGGCAGTTGATTGGACACTTTTTAGTGTCTAGATAGAATATATCCCCTCATGGTGCTGGGACCTTGTCCTTCCTGTCATTGCCCCCCCAATGGCCCGGGGTGTGTCCGTCTGCCTGCGCGGGGAGAAGACTGTGGGAGGAGTCAGTAATATATTACAATTGTGAGGCCGTTCGTGGCTCTGTCAGTCTCTATCAGGGTAGACGAGGAGGTACATCGGACAATCTTCACCCAGCAGCGTCTTTAAGAGTTCAACCGCAGCCTGAAGGTCACCCGTCCTTGGAATTTGTCCCGCTCATCGCGGTTGTTGATGTTGGCCGCGTTTACGCTGCATTCCACGTAGTGGTCCATGTTGCGTGTCGCGTTCAGGAACTTCACCGCCACGAAAGGCTGGGTGTAGTTTTTCTGTGGGAGAGTGAAGGTCAGGAAAAGTGAGACTGGTGGACAGAGTGATGAAGGAGGGCAGAAGACACCATCTGATTGGATGAGAAATTCCACTGGGTGGGAGTGGGGAAGGTTCTCACCTGCGCACGGTTTCCATAGTAGGGGAAGTACTTGAGGTCGATGCTGCCCAGACCCTGGCCGGTCCCGGGGTAGTAGACTCTGCTGCCCAGAAGACGGTCGTATTCATTGTTCTGGGGGAGGAGAGACGTGTCACATACCCCGTATCATCCATCACACGCCATATACAGTACATATGTGTTATCCGCATGACAGGACGGGCCCACCATGATGGGAGCTATACATTCCAGGCCGGGGTTCAGAGGGCGATGTGGACAATCAGAGAGAATCATCAGTGCGAGGAATGAAGGCGCCTACACCGTTAGTGGATTGGACCCCCTTTGGTGGGGATGGTGGTAGTGGATTGGACATTCTTTGGTGGGGATGGTGGTAGTGGATTGGACCCCCTTTGGTGGGGATGGTGGTAGTGGATTGGACATTCTTTGGTGGGGATGGTGGTAGTGGATTGGACCCCCTTTGGTGGGGATGGTGGTAGTGGATTGGACATTCTTTGGTGGGGATGGTGGTAGTGGATTGGACCCACTTTGGTGGGGATGGTGGTAGTGGATTGGACACTCTTTGGTGGGGATGGTGGTAGTGGATTGGACCCCCTTTGTTGGGGATGGTGGTAGTGGATTGGACGCCCTTTGGTGGGGATGGTGTTAGTGGATTGGACACTCTTTGGTGGGGATGGTGGCAGTGGATTGGACATCCTTTGGTGGGGATGGTGGCAGTTGATTGGACATCCTTTGCTGGGGATGGTGGTAGTGGATTGGATGCCCTTTGGTGGGGCTGGTGGCAGTTGATTGGACACCCTTTGGTGGGGGATGGTGGCAGTTGATTGGACACCCTTTGGTGGGGGATGGTGGCAGTAGATTGGACGCCCTATGGTGGGGATGGTGGAAGTAGATTGGACGCCCTATGGTGGGGATGGTGGCAGTAGATTGGACGCCCTTTGGTGGGGATGGTGGCAGGAGATTGGACGCCCTTTGGTGGGGATGGTGGCAGTAGATTGGACGCCCTTTGGTGGGGATGGTGGCAGTAGATTGGACGCCCTTTGGTGGGGATGGCCTGGATGGGGGCAGCTGTCTGAATGCTCCTTGGCAGGGATGGTGGCAGTTGATTGGACACTTTTTAGTGTCTAGATAGAATATATCCCCTCATGGTGCTGGGACCTTGTCCTTCCTGTCATTGCCCCCCCAATGGCCCGGGGTGTGTCCGTCTGCCTGCGCGGGGAGAAGACTGTGGGAGGAGTCAGTAATATATTACAATTGTGAGGCCGTTCGTGGCTCTGTCAGTCTCTATCAGGGTAGACGAGGAGGTACATCGGACAATCTTCACCCAGCAGCGTCTTTAAGAGTTCAACCGCAGCCTGAAGGTCACCCGTCCTTGGAATTTGTCCCGCTCATCGCGGTTGTTGATGTTGGCCGCGTTTACGCTGCATTCCACGTAGTGGTCCATGTTGCGTGTCGCGTTCAGGAACTTCACCGCCACGAAAGGCTGGGTGTAGTTTTTCTGTGGGAGAGTGAAGGTCAGGAAAAGTGAGACTGGTGGACAGAGTGATGAAGGAGGGCAGAAGACACCATCTGATTGGATGAGAAATTCCACTGGGTGGGAGTGGGGAAGGTTCTCACCTGCGCACGGTTTCCATAGTAGGGGAAGTACTTGAGGTCGATGCTGCCCAGACCCTGGCCGGTCCCGGGGTAGTAGACTCTGCTGCCCAGAAGACGGTCGTATTCATTGTTCTGGGGGAGGAGAGACGTGTCACATACCCCGTATCATCCATCACACGCCATATACAGTACATATGTGTTATCCGCATGACAGGACGGGCCCACCATGATGGGAGCTATACATTCCAGGCCGGGGTTCAGAGGGCGATGTGGACAATCAGAGAGAATCATCAGTGCGAGGAATGAAGGCGCCTACACCGTGCTGGAGACCAACAACGTTCCGATGAAACCAACTTAATGTAACCTGTGGTATGTTCTCCGTGTCCGGTACTGACGTGTATTCTGTATGCTGGGTGCCTGTATGGGATGTAGGCATCTCCTATAGGTTCCACCTCTCCCCATCTCATCTATAGGCAGGGCTGACCATGGGGGTCTATAAGGTGACTACACAACATCTCCTATAGGTTCCCCCTCTCCCCATCTCATCTATAGGCAGGGCTGACCATGGGGGTCTATAAGGTGACTACACAACATCTCCTATAGGTTCCCCCTCTCCCCATCTCATCTATAGGCAGGGCTGACCATGGGGGTCTATAAGGTGACTACACAACATCTCCTATAGGTTCCCCCTCTCCCCATCTCATCTATAGGCAGGGCTGACCATGGGGGTCTATAAGGTGACTACACAACATCTCCTATAGGTTCCCCCTCTCCCCATCTCATCTATAGGCAGGGCTGACCATGGGGGTCTATAAGGTGACTACACAACATCTCCTATAGGTTCCCCCTCTCCCCATCTCATCTATAGGCAGGGCTGACCATGGGGGTCTATAAGGTGACTACACAACATCTCCTATAGGTTCCCCCTCTCCCCATCTCATCTATAGGCAGGGCTGACCATGGGGGTCTATAAGGTGACTACACAACATCTCCTATAGGTTCCCCCTCTCCCCATCTCATCTATAGGCAGGGCTGACCATGGGGGTCTATAAGGTGACTACACAACATCTCCTATAGGTTCCCCCTCTCCCCATCTCATCTATAGGCAGGGCTGACCATGGGGGTCTATAAGGTGACTACACAACATCTCCTATAGGTTCCCCCTCTCCCCATCTCATCTATAGGCAGGGCTGACCATGGGGGTCTATAAGGTGACTACACAACATCTCCTATAGGTTCCCCCTCTCCCCATCTCATCTATAGGCAGGGCTGACCATGGGGGTCTATAAGGTGACTACACAACATCTCCTATAGGTTCCCCCTCTCCCCATCTCATCTATAGGCAGGGCTGACCATGGGGGTCTATAAGGTGACTACACAACATCTCCTATAGGTTCCCCCTCTCCCCATCTCATCTATAGGCAGGGCTGACCATGGGGGTCTATAAGGTGACTACACAACATCTCCTATAGGTTCCCCCTCTCCCCATCTCATCTATAGGCAGGGCTGACCATGGGGGTCTATAAGGTGACTACACAACATCTCCTATAGGTTCCCCCTCTCCCCATCTCATCTATAGGCAGGGCTGACCATGGGGGTCTATAAGGTGACTACACAACATCTCCTATAGGTTCCCCCTCTCCCCATCTCATCTATAGGCAGGGCTGACCATGGGGGTCTATAAGGTGACTACACAACATCTCCTATAGGTTCCCCCTCTCCCCATCTCATCTATAGGCAGGGCTGACCATGGGGGTCTATAAGGTGACTACACAACATCTCCTATAGGTTCCCCCTCTCCCCATCTCATCTATAGGCAGGGCTGACCATGGGGGTCTATAAGGTGACTACACAACATCTCCTATAGGTTCCCCCTCTCCCCATCTCATCTATAGGCAGGGCTGACCATGGGGGTCTATAAGGTGACTACACAACATCTCCTATAGGTTCCCCCTCTCCCCATCTCATCTATAGGCAGGGCTGACCATGGGGGTCTATAAGGTGACTACACAACATCTCCTATAGGTTCCCCCTCTCCCCATCTCATCTATAGGCAGGGCTGACCATGGGGGTCTATAAGGTGACTACACAACATCTCCTATAGGTTCCCCCTCTCCCCATCTCATCTATAGGCAGGGCTGACCATGGGGGTCTATAAGGTGACTACACAACATCTCCTATAGGTTCCACCTCTCCCCATCCCATCTACAGGGTCACATACTATATTCTTTATAATAGTGAAGTATATTCTGGGTGGCTGTATGGGATATGGGCAGGGGGTGGCTATGGGGGTCTATCAGGTACATCTATAGGGTTTATGTAGTGACTATGCAGCTTCTGTTATAGGTTCCACTTCTTCTTGCCTCGTATATAAGGTCACATACCATATTCTGAGTAATAATGTATATATCATATTCCCTATATACATAGGTATGAGGAGTGACCTCCAGAGGATTGCTCCATGACATCTCCTATAGGGTCCACCTCACACCATCTTCATACAGATATAGGTTATCTCTCACTATCACAGGCAGCTATCGTCTACATCATCGG